CTCTCTCTCTCTCTCTCTCTCTCTCTCTCTGCTCTCTCTCTCTCTCTCTCTCTCTCTCTCTCTCTCTCTCTCTCTCTCTCTCTCTCTCTCTCTCTCTCTCTCTCTCTCTCTCTCTCTCTCTCTCTCTCTCTCTCTCTTGCTTTCTTTCTTTCTATCTCTCTCTCTCTCGCTCTCGCTCTCGCTCTCGCTCTCTCTCTCGCTCTCGCTCTCTCTCTCTCTCGGTGTGTCTCTCTTCCGGAATGGAGGCTGGGGACTCTCGGCAGAACAGCGCGAGTTATTATGGTTTGCTACAAAGTCGAGTCGCTCTGGAGCTTCGGCCCCAGTTCCAGAGCACGGTCTTTCAGGACGGAGTGCTCGAGGAGGTTCAAGACCGACTCAGTGCATGACAGCAAAGCGAAGGGAAGATCATGCCTCTTGAAACCTTGCGATCAAGTGCAGGCAAGATGCACACCAGGTGGACACATCCACCCGCAACTTGCACAGGTACAAGTATATCTGCGGGTGGTTGTCCATCATCTTCTTCTTTGCGCCGTCCATGGCGTCGTTGATCTCCTGGAACTCCGGCATCTTGTTGGCAGCCCCACCAGTCATGAGTCCTGAGTTGCACGAGACTGCCGAAACTTCGAACTTCCACTTCCACCTGTGCAGACCACGTGCAGACCAAGCACCTTCGGATCTCAGCCTGGCCTGGTCCGCCACCGTATCCTTGGCCTTCGCAGGGAGGTTCTTGTCACCATTGGTCGGTGCCGTCGGGGTCGGTGTTGTCATGGCTGCACGGGCGGATGGCAAAGCCCCTGAAGACCGGATGTGTTGCGACCCTAGTGCCCAGCGGAGGCCCTGTGATGACCTGAATGATGGACCCTAGCGGCTCTAGCACTCTGCCCAACGCATGCTTCATGGCCGTCATGTTGGGACTCTGTGACTGAAAACGTTGCAGGGAGCAGCAGTCAAAGGCTGTGCAAAGCAAGAACATGACCACGAACGAACTGCAGCTAAACCACGGCAGTCTGAAGCAAGCGAGCTGAGGAGACCTCTGACTGAACTCCGGAATCTCCCAGGTCCCAAGGCAGAGACCTCAGGAATCCAATAATGCAATGCCGAGCTGAGAAGGCAGCTGAGCCATGCACATCAGACGTGGTTCTCGCAAGACCTCACAAGTGAGCCAAGTAGTTCTTAAAAAAAAACCAGCGCTCCACCAACGCTCTCAGGGGCCGACCGAAGATCTGGACCATGTCGAGACCGCCTGCCATGAGCAAAACTCAACAAGAAGAGCTTCCTAACCACTGAAGCAGTACGAAATGCCTTTAAGACCAGGCCTGCAACGAAGGCCGCCGGCAGCTGTCCTGTCGGAAGGAAATTCTATTTATGCTCTGAGGAGTGGGGTGCTCTGGGCCGCAATACCAGAACTGAATTCACCATGACCGAGCCCCACTGCGATCAACCTACATAAACTGTAGACCCGAACAGCCCTAGGCCCTAGGTTGCCAACCGCTGGGGAGGTTCGGCGCTCACACTCGGACAATCCAGGCGAGGCATCTGGGGAGGTTCGAGGGTTCGCGCTTTTTCCACAGGCAGCACCGACGATCAAGGCTCACAAACCATCCAGCATCGAGCATCGCTCATCAGCACTGCTGTCGCTGCTGCTGCTGGATGAGGACGAGGAGGATGTTCCCGTGTCCTTTCTTTGTGTGGGACTCGGGGTGGCAAGACCAAAGAATCACAATTAAATTATCAAAACTTATCTGCTGGATGCTCTCGGAGAAACCTTCCTCGGCGCCGCCTTTGCTCCAGCAGCTGAGGCCTTGGAGACCGCAACGGCCACCACTGGAGCAGCCGCTTTAGCCGCTTTGGCCACCACTTTAGCAGCCGCTTTAGCTGCTTTGGCCGCCACTGGAGCAGCCACCGCAGCCGCTTTGGCCACCACCGGCTTGGAGACCGGAGCCGCAGCAGAAGACCTTGAAGGCCTTCGGTCCTCCTTGATTGAAAGGAAGCCCCAAATTATCAGAAGTATTACAAGTTTCAAGCATTTACACCTATATAACCTGTAAAGAAGGAACCAGAAGACTTAATTGAGCAACAAAGCGGCAGAGGCCAGCAGCACACTGTGACCATCCCTGGGATAGACACCCGGTGCCCACGTGTTCAGTGTCCCCAGGGTGGTCCGCCTGATTTCAGGCGTCTCCTGCTCTAGGCAGGCCTCCAGCACCGGAATGAACCTTGGCATTGGGAATTATGAGTTGCTAACTGCTAACCCACTAAAGTGCCAAAGGAAGCGAACCTGGCCTAAATCAACTCAAACCTGTCAACCCTCCGACCAAGGAGCATCTTCCGGTGCGAGACCGGAACCAGAGGTGCCAAGCGAAAAAGGCAAGTCACCACAGACGACCGAATGCGGCCAGCCTGTTTCAACCACGCCACCAACGCCCGGTTGAACTCCACCTTCTGGAACGCCATGTGAAGCATCTCATTGTCATGCAGATTGTTCAACTGCAAGACCATGTCGTGGATCTGCTCCTGGGTCGTAGCTCCAGTGACGTCATGCACGAGCCTGGCTGCCTCGGCTTCAACACCACAATAAGTGGCCTATGAACCTACAAGAAAGCAAGGCCAAAGACTCCTTGATGCATTCAAAGGTGCTCTCTGGAACTTCGTCGTGCCGGAGCCGGAAGCGGCCTCCCTTTCTTGAGCCTAAGGGGTCCAGAAGGAGCAGAGACCCAATACGGAATCAAAATCCTTAAGCCTTAAGCTCCTAAAGCCATCATAGCTGAGCCACTGGGCTCCGAGACCTGCCACGACGATCTGAGGCTGCCATCACCTCCAGCCAATGCTGTTGCTGCTGCAGCTGCTGCCGTTGCTGTGTGTTTTGCTGCTGCAGCAGGGCTTGCTGTTGTTGCTGTTGCTGTTGCTGCTGTTGATGCTGCTGCTGGAGCTGTTGCAGAGTGGCAGCATGCTCGGCTCGAAGACGCACAGCCTGATCTTCTTGAGCCGCTGCCGCCTGCACCAAAAGAGCCTGACGAGTGTTATTATGATCAACCGCAAACTAACTAACCCAGACCCTAACCAAAAAAACCAAAGAACCGTCGGAAAGCAGCCACGTGGCTTGTGCAGCTTCACGTTCACGGCGTGCCTCATCCTGAGTGGTTGAAAACAGGGAACGTGGAGCATGGGCTTAATAAAGAGCTACAACAATGACAACGGAATTACATGAAAATCGATGATGTCTGGTGCCGAGGTGCCCGATCACGATGAGCAGCCGATCTCTCAACAGCGCCAGGTCGGTTCTTCTGGTGCTCCTTCCGCTTGTCGGGGTTGGGTCGACGCTGCTTTCCCATGGCGTCGGCGCCGAAAAAAGCCCCTAGCTCAAACGGAAGGTCATGGCACTCCTATGGAAGCTCGGCCTTATGAAGACCTAATGACCTAATTTAAATTGGCCTTATGAAGACCTAACTTAATGGCCTTACGAAGACCTATTGGCCCTGAGAATCGAGTCTTCGGAAGACCTGAAGGATTGATCTTCAACAGACCTTGAGACAACAATATGACGGGGTTGCTTCATGCATGATGCGGATCGAAAGCCCCATCAACTCCAAAATTCAAAAAAGCTGAACCTGTCAATGACCTCAAATTTGCAATCCCAATCACAGAAGCCCACTTACAACCCAGGGCCCCAGACCCTCAACTCCCTTGAATGGTGGCAGGGGAATTTAGGGATTCAAAGGCTCTAGGTTGGTCTAGCAAACAGCCCTAACCCTAACCCCAAACCACCTAAATACCTAGTCCCCCTTAAACCCTACAATCCCTACAACCTCAAACTATGACCCCTTTACCCCTAAACCACCCTGCAACACCCAGCCCAGGCCCAGTCCTTCATCTGGGCACCAAAGCGGGCCGGCAGCGCAGCAGCGGGCGCGACTGCCAAAGGGCTCAAGGGCTTGGGCACATCAGGAGTTGGGGCAGGCTTGGGGCTTGGGGCGGCTTGGGGCGGCTTGGGGAACACGGGGAAAGCCGAGCGCAATGCATGGGGCAAGTACGAGTGCAATGCTTCAGGCTTGGACTGAAGGAGGAAATCCCACCCCCCAATGAAAGACCGAACGTCCAGACCTGAAGCATGAAAGCCCGACGAATCCCCCAACCCAACCCCCCCCCGACCACCAACCAACCATAATCGGGGGCGCAGCGGCCTGAACGGTCACTGCAGCCCCCACCACCAGAACCAGGCAGCGGCTTGAACAGTCACTGCACCGGCTCTCTAAACCCTAGGCCTAGGCCTAAAAGCCCCGCTGGACAAGCCTCCATGGCATCTCCGTCGGCCACAAAAGACCTGAGAGGATGGCGGATATTTTAAGGGGTTATGTAAATAGGGGCAGCCGACAAAGGTTGAGCCCGCGGCCTCTATGACGGCGCCGCAATGCCGAGCAGGGCGGGGCATCTGGGGATTAACTTAAGGTAAGGTTGGGGTCTTGGAGTTTGGAGTTTAAGGGGGCCAACAGCATGAGACCATGAGACCTACAACAAGTTGGGCCAAACGGCAACAAACCCAGCAAAAACTTAAAACTTAAACCCGAAGCCTAAGACCCAGCAAGGAATATAGGGGCCGTAATACTCCTATATCTTACCTTTGGTTAGTAGGGAATGGAAGAATGGTAGCAATTGTAATTCTAGTTGTACCCCATTCCTCCATTCCCGACTAACCCAAGGTAAGTTCAAGGAACCCAAAATGTGTGAGTTTCCGAAAGTTAGGGGTACCTTTAAAGGGATCCATAAGGGTTCCTTAAAGGGATCTATAAGGGTTCTGGTGGGGGTCCTTATAAAAAAGGATCCTGCGACTTAGGGTGCTATATTGGGCTCCCGTATTTTCCCAGAGCCTCCAAAACCCCTCAATTAAGGAATATACCTTAAATTATAATAGGATCCCTAATATGATTTTAAGGTATATTCCGCAATTAAGGGGTTGTGGAGGCTCTGGGTTCGGAAGCTCCCATATCGCCTGGGGCGCCCACCCAACAGTATGGTCTCGGCACTCTGGCAGGAGCCTTGTCTATGCAGTAGCCGTTGTCGTAGCTGACCTGGCAGATTACAGCCCTGGATTTAGGGGTTCGGAGTGCCTAGCCCCAAGGACATACAAAAAAGAGGGGTGCTTAGGCATCGATAGTTTTCTTGACAGGGTGGTACGGCTTTTTCAAGAAAGCAGACGAGATTCCATGATAGGCTTTGCAACAATACCTACGTTCTACCAGAGGCTTGCAATTATAGATCTCACTCTCTGCCCTGAGGGACCCTCTTCGTCCAATACCGGGGATTCTTTTCTGACCATAAGGAACCGGAAGGAACAGTCCCTGGGCATAATATATGAGTCCTTAAAGGGAACTCCAGAAAGTTGGAATATGGGGGCATAACCCAGAGCCTCCAAAACCCCTTAATCAAGGAAGGTATATTCCTTAACTAAGGGGTTTTGGAGGCTCTGGGTATTACAGCATATCCAGCCTTCTGTATCAATGTCGAGATTGGTTCGGAAAACCCCTGGTCCTTCTCAGACGAAGTGCGGGAGCACCGACAGAATTGTAGCTGTGAATTGGACGGTGCAGCACGACAGCCAAAAGCAAGTCCTGAACTGTAGCAATCATACTACTAGTATTGCGAGTGCGGTTTAGGGTTTGGCCCCTGCAGCTTTCAGCAGAGTGTGAGGCGCACCACGCAGAGGAGTCGCGGAATTGTCTTGGACAATCCACCCTCAGCATCCTGTCAGGATGCATCGCTTCCACAAGAACTCCGGTCACCCAGAGCCTCCAAAACCCCTTAATTAAGGAATATACCTTAAATTATAATAGGATCCCTAATATGATTTTAAGGTATATTCCTTAATTAAGGGGTTTTGGAGGCTCTGGGAACTCCGGTCAGAGCTTTCAACTTTTTAGTTCGACATTGGGGGTCGAGGGCTTCACGGGTTTAGGGGTTGTAGGCTCCCTCCATCTACTTGGAGGGTCGGGGGACTTAGTAACTGGTTACTTTAGGGACTTATAAGTACCATAACCCCAATTAGGGTCCCTTTTAGGGTGCTTATAAGTCTACTTACTACCTACTTACTAAGTCCCCCGACCCTCCAAGTACCCTCTATTAGACCCTAATGCCCCTTATTTGGGACCATATACCCCTATTTGAGGGTACAAAGAGGGTCCTGGTGGTGAAGTCAGCCAGCGAGCTTCGAACAAAGAGCATACTCAATCCATGCCTTCCTCACTGAAAACTGGTGGGAGGCCAAGAGGGGGTGGGTTTCAGATTCTTGGGGTAGGGATTCCTTAATATAAACCCTATTATGGGAACCCAAGTCCCTACTAAACCCCCATACACTAAAACCCCTCTTGGCCTCCTACTGTTGATGATATAACATTACCTTAGGGACCCTAAACTATGGGAACTATGGTATATTCCTTATTATTGGTAATGCAGGAAAAGGTACCCTTATAGATCCCTTTAAAGGAACCCTAGGATTTATATCATCAACCCTATGAAAAGCCTGCAACTGCAGACTTGGGAGTCCTTTGCCCACGCAGATAGGTGAGCGCGGACCACCGCGTATCGCACTGCAAAACCTCCAGGGCTCTGCCCAGAGATCCCAATACCCCTGAATCAAGGAAAATGCCTTAAATTATAAGCGGATTCATATTATGATTAATTCATATTATGATTTAAGCTACTTTCCGCAATTAAGGGCTATTGGGCTCTCTGGGCGCATGTCTTAACTCTACCACGACCCTCCTTGTACCCTCAAATAGGGGTATATGGTCCTAAATAAGGGGCATTCAGTGAGAATATAATCCCAATAGTGATAATGAAGAAACCTTAAAGTGCACGGCCCCGGCTTCTGATTTGCTTGCTACATGATGCCTTGAAGTGTCCGTATGGGCCCCGTACGGGCATCTAAATGCCCTTATAGGGGCGTTTCGGGCTTTTCGGGTCCAGGGCTAAAGGCCGGGCTCAACCACTTGCGTCAATGTGTCGGGAGCACTGAGACCATCATCGGTGGATCGCTCCCGGCTTTTGGTCGTAGCCCTAATAGAGGGGCCTCAATAATTAGAATACTATCTTGGTTGGTTCCGTATGATAATCATCGTATAATGGGCCCCAAAACCCTAGTCTTATTATTAAGGCCTCCACAAAAAACCCTATTCTAATTATTAAGGCCTCTACATTAATTAATAAACCCCTAACTCACGCAAAGCTGCAGGAGCCGCAGGAGAAACCCACGAGCGCCACCGAGCGCCCGGGGTATCGGCGACCGACCTCCAAGAAGACCTCGTCCAGGTCCTGCACACTGAAAAACTCATAGGGTTTAGGGTTTAGGGTTTAGGGCTTAGCACACTGAAAACTGCATGAGACCAGGACCCTCCTTGTACCCTCAATTAGGGGTATATGGTCCCAAATAAAGGGCATTTAGGTTCTAATAGAGGGTAGATGGAGGGTCTAGGGACTTAGTAGGTAGGATAACTAGGGTTTAGGGTTTAGGGTCACACTTAAAACTGGGTTGTGCCCTGAAAGGAACCTTTAAAGAAGCCCTGACAGGAGCCCATAACTACCCTTATAGGAACCCTTGATAAGCTTTCTAGGAACTCTTTAAAAGGAACCTTTAAAAAATAAGAACTGGGTTGTGCTTTAAACCCTTTGAAAATTATTTATGAACAGGTTCCCTTTATAAGGAAATAAGGGAAATTAAGAATTAGCCCAAAGCACAACCCAGAAAAGTTCATGAGACTTTCTGAGACTTATAGTAGGTAGGATAACTAGGGTTATAAATATACCTAACTATACTTATAGAACTGAATATAACCCGAGCTGAAATCGGTACTAACTAAGTCCCATGAACCTCCAAGCAAGCAATTCAGGGAGTTGTGCGTGGTGGGGCTTGGGTAGTTCGTTTTTTCTGCGGACTCTGGGGGGGGGGGGGTTAACGCTTCCGGTTGAGGGCCTTTCACGGCTAAGAGGTTTACATTCGGGCTCAGGGCCTTAAGGGATAAGGGGTTTGGATTTCTCAAGGCCTTTAGTCTGGATTTAGGGGCAGGGTGTAAGGTTTTGGAACTTGACGCGGTGAATCGAATCAGCACTATGAGTACATCCTCTGCAGACATGTGTCGCAGAGGAGTGAATCTAGCAAACGTCAACCTCGAGAAACCAAAAGACCCGAAGCAAACGAACCGGCAGGACAAAATACACTCACATGGGTGGTTGTCAAAACTAGGTTCCCTTTTTGGGTCCTTAATATAATACGGCACCTGATATTTAGGGTACCCCAAAAGGGAGCATAATTTTGACAGCTACCCACATGGCTTTCAGAATCCAAGCAAACTTTGCCCCAATACTGGGGATCCTAAACCTTAACCCGAAGGCCGAAACACTGTCAAAACCCAAAGCCCTATTGGGAGTACCCGATTCAGTAGGATCCTTTTTATAAGGACCCCCAAATAAAGTACCCCCCTAATTTTCGGAAACTCTCATATGTAAGCCCTCAACTGAAAAAAAACCTAAACTTCCTAAACCCTAGACCCCTAAACCCCCAAAGCCCTAAGCCCTCAACCGAAAATCCCTCCTCGTCAATTCCGTCGAGAGTCATCCCATAACTATAACAAAACCATACAAAACGTAGGGGATAACATTTTCCGCTTCTATACTTAACACAAGCATCCTCCTAAACCCTAAACCCCCTAAACCCTAAACCCTCAACCGAAAAATCCTCATCCTCGTCAATTCCGTAGAGACTCATCCGGGCTGTGTCGACCTCCAGCTTCAAGCCGCCGTAGCCGCGACGGTTCATCACCCTTAGGTGGGGCGGGGGGGCTTGGGGTTTAGGGGTTTAGGGGTTTAGGGGTTTAGGGGTTTAGGGGTTTAGGGGTTGAGGGGTTGAGGGGGCTCCTTTAATGGCTCCTGTAAAGGATCTACAAGGGGACTACAACGGTACTATTAGGAGATTCCCTCAAAAGATCCGAAAGTTATCAGAGGGTCTAGGGTTCAAGGGTTTCAGAGTTTAGGATCATCACTCTTAGATACGTTCGCATGGAGAGTCATGTGCCAAGCATAGTAGGGTTTAGGGTTTAGGCCGGTTTAGGGTAAGCGTTTAGGGTTTAGGGCTTACGTTTTTCGGCTGTATTTCTAGGACTTGGGGTTCAGAGTTTAGGGTTCAAAGGTACAGTTGGACAGGTGCCAAACAACTGGAGGGTTTAGGGTTTAGGGTTTTGGGTTTAGGGTTTAGGGTTTAGGGGTGTGCTGGTCAAATACTTCCGACTGCAAAAAAACCTTGCCGCCGTGGATGTGTGGAAATACGGACTGAAGGAATTACCAACACTATTTGGGATCCCTTATAAGTTAATATATAGGTACCCGGACCCTAAGGAACCTACCTTTTTAGGGTTCCCTAATATGACTTCTTTATATAAGTCCTTAAAAAGGTCGGTTATTTGGGGTTAAGGTATAGTATAATGGGTCCCCAAGCCCTGTTCTTATCAAGGCCCTTAGCCATGGCCCTTCAGGGATGAGCCACAGTCGGTGGCATGATATAAGGGTGGTTGTCAAGATTATGGTCCCTTTTTGGGTCCTTATCCAGGACACTCCTTGTACCCTCAGACAGGGGTAAATGGTCCCAAATAAAAGGCATTTAGGGTCTAATAGAGGGTAGATGGAGGGTCCAGGATTATATAATATATAATACGGCAGCTAATACTTAGGGTACCCAAAAAAGGGCCAGAATTCTGACAACTTCCCATAAGGCCTTGATAAGAGCACCGCTTGGGGACCCATTGTACTATACTTATTTATATTAACTAATACGGGATCCCAAATGGTATTGGTAATTACTTCAGTCCGTATATTACTCATGCACAGCAAGCGAAGCAGGATCTAACGAGCCTGCTCCACACTGGTGTGAAAAAGGATCAGCTGGCCCACTTTTTCACTCAGCCGCTGCAGACAGCGCATGCAGAGATCACATTGTCTTCTGCCTGGGCGTGGAATGTGCTGGCTGTGGACTCATCCTGTCGCCTTCGGGATCCACTTTCAGGCAGGACGCCTGTCATGGCGCCAAGGGCTCAGGACAACACACGGCAGCGCAAAATTGGCAAAAGCCGCCACATGCCGCCACTTAGTAGCGGTACGTGTCCGGCTTGAAAGGCCCCTCAACAGGCACGCCGATGTAGTCGGCCTGCTCCTTGCTCAGCTTCGTCATGCTGGCACCCAGCGATGGCAGGTGGAGTGCGGCCACCTTCTCATCCAGCTTCTTGGGCAGCAGGTACACATCGTTCTCGTAGTTCTTAGCCTTGGTGCAGTTCTCCAGGATGTCCAACTGGGCCAGCACCTGGTTGGTGAAAGAGCAAGACATCACGAAGGAAGGGTGGCCGGTGGCACAGCCAAGGTTCACAAGGCGGCCGGAGGCCAGCACGATCACGCCGTGGCCATCCGGGAAGACGAAGCGATCCACCTGCGGCTTGATGTTCTCCACCTTGATGCCAGGGCACTTCTCCAGATCCTCCATGGCGATCTCGTTGTCGAAGTGGCCGATGTTGCACACGATGGCGTTGTTCTTCATCTTCTTCATGTGCTCCTGGCGAGGTGCTGGCTTGCACGACGCTACGAAAAAGATGCTACGGAAATGAACATGCACAAGCATGACACTTGCCATGACACTTGCATATATCTAGGGGTTGGGACAGGTGGTGCAGGCTCCAGGGTGATGATCTTGAAGTTGCCAGTGGCGGAGGTGAAGATGTCCACCTCACCCACGCACTCCTCAAGGGTCACGACCTGGAAGCCCTCCATGCACGCCTGCAGCGCGCAGATGGGGTCGATCTCGGTGATCAGCACCCGTGCGCCGGCTCCGCGCATGGCGAAGGCGCAGCCCTTGCCCACATCGCCGTAGCCGGCCACGAGGGCACGCTTGCCGCCGATCATCACGTCCGTGGCGCGCATGATGCTGTCCGGCAGGGAGTGACGGCAGCCGTACACGTTGTCGAACTTGCTCTTGGTAACGCAGTCCTGCTGTGGTTCAATTTCTGTCCGAGCAGAAGACTTAAGTATCATGGAAGCACGGATTTCGATCAGAACAAGAAACACAAGAACACAACAAAAAGAAGCGGCAGTCGTTGACGTTGATGGCCGGGAAGAGCAGCTCGCCCTTGGCCGCCATTTCGCGCAGGCGGTGGACACCGGTGGTGGTCTCCTGCTGGTTGGCACCATACCCGCTCAGAGCCAACACGCCAAAATGATGAAAACCCCGAAGCCTCATGCAGAACCTTTGCACTTTCACAAATCGCTCCGAAATCAGCACCCAAGACCCGCAACGTCTCCTCGCTGACACCCTTGCACTTGGCCGCCATGCGGGTGTACTTGGTCTTGTCCACCTGGATCGAGTCTTTGAGCAACTGCAAGATGCACTTGAACTCGGCGTTGGTCGTGCTGGAAGGATCTGGCAGGCTGCCGTCCTTGGCGAACTTCTCCTCGAACTCCTTGCCCTTGTGGATCAGCAGAGTGGCATCGCCGCCGTCATCCACCAGCTGGTCGCAGCCATCAGCTCCCGGCACGGTCATCATCTGCTCCGTGCACCACCAGTACTCGGGCAGCGTCTCGCCCTTCCACGCGAAGACCGTGGAAGTGCCTGCCTTGGCAATGGCAGCCGCTGCGTGGTCCTGCGTGCTGAAGATGTTGCACGAGCACCAACGCACCTTGGCACCCAGGGCAGCCAGCGTCTCGATCAGAACGCCGGTCTGGATGGTCATGTGCAGGGAGCCGTTGATGTTCATGCCCTTGAAAGGCTGCGAGGGGCCGAACTCCTTGCGTGCCGCCATCAGGCCAGGCATCTCATGCTCTGCCAGAGTGAGCTCCTTACGGCCGAACTCGGCCAGGCCCATGTCCTTCACCTTCGAGTCTGCCATGCTTCCCAGTCACCGTGCGATTAAGACTACTACGGGATGAGGGTGCCTTTCGAAGCTGGGTGCCGACAATGCCAACACACAGAGCATGGTGGTGTTGAAAGGGCAACTGGACAGAGAACTTTGTGCGAGGAGTTTGTTCAAAGCTTTCCACTGTGCCCGGAGGCCAGCTGCTACGCTCGCAACTACAACAAAAACACCTCCCTTTGTCCTGACTAAGATCAGTCTTATACGTCTTGTTGTGGCATACAAGACCGTTCTGTTGTATTGTAGGCGGGCAAGGAGGGCTGGAACGACAGCAACTTTCCACTTGGGTGCAGCAGACTCACAACAAGACTGTCGTCAATCGATGATCCGATGCTGTCAGTCATTGTGCTCAAACGTTGCAACACCCCGAACGACACCTGGTTTTTTCCACTCAGCAGATCTCTTCTGCCCAGGCTTGGAATGTGCTAGCTGTGGACTCATCGTGTCGCCTTCGGGATCCACTTTCAGGCAGGACGCCTGTCATGGCGCCAAGGGCTCAGGACAACACACGGCAGCGCAAAATTGGCAAAAGCCGCCACATGCCGCCACTTAGTAGCGGTACGTGTCCGGCTTGAAAGGCCCCTCAACAGGCACGCCGATGTAGTCGGCCTGCTCCTTGCTCAGCTTCGTCATGCTGGCACCCAGGGACGGCAGGTGGAGTGCGGCCACCTTCTCATCCAGCTTCTTGGGCAGCAGGTACACATCGTTCTTGTAGTTCTTAGCCTTGGTGCAGTTCTCCAGGATGTCCAACTGGGCCAGCACCTGGTTGGTGAAAGAGCAAGACATCACGAAGGAAGGGTGGCCGGTGGCACAGCCAAGGTTCACAAGGCGGCCGGAGGCCAGCACGATCACGCCGTGGCCATCCGGGAAGACGAAGCGATCCACCTGCGGCTTGATGTTCTCCACCTTGATGCCAGGGCACTTCTCCAGATCCTCCATGGCGATCTCGTTGTCGAAGTGGCCGATGTTGCACACGATGGCGTTGTTCTTCATCTTCTTCATGTGCTCCTGGCGAGGTGCTGGCTTGCACGACGCTACGAAAAAGATGCTACGGAAATGAACATGCACAAGCATGACACTTGCCATGACACTTGCATATATCTAGGGGTTGGGACAGGTGGTGCAGGCTCCAGGGTGATGATCTTGAAGTTGCCAGTGGCGGAGGTGAAGATGTCCACCTCACCCACGCACTCCTCAAGGGTCACGACCTGGAAGCCCTCCATGCACGCCTGCAATGCGCAGATGGGGTCGATCTCGGTGATCAGCACCCGTGCGCCGGCTCCGCGCATGGCGAAGGCACAGCCCTTGCCCACATCGCCGTAGCCGGCCACGAGGGCACGCTTGCCGCCGATCATCACGTCCGTGGCACGCATGATGCTGTCAGGCAGGGAGTGACGGCAGCCGTACACGTTGTCGAACTTGCTCTTGGTAACGCAGTCCTGCTGTGGTTCAATTTCTGTCCGAGCAGAAGACTTAAGTATCATGGAAGCACGGATTTCGATCAGAACAAGAAACACAAGAACACAACAAAAAGAAGCGGCAGTCGTTGACGTTGATGGCCGGGAAGAGCAGCTCGCCCTTGGCCGCCATTTCGCGCAGGCGGTGGACACCGGTGGTGGTCTCCTGCTGGTTGGCACCATAGCCGCTCAGAGCCAACACGCCAAAATGATGAAAACCCCGAAGCCTCATGCAGAACCTTTGCACTTTCACAAATCGCTCCGAAATCAGCACCCAAGACCCGCAACGTCTCCTCGCTGACACCCTTGCACTTGGCCGCCATGCGGGTGTACTTGGTCTTGTCCACCTGGATCGAGTCTTTGAGCAACTGCAAGATGCACTTGAACTCGGCGTTGGTCGTGCTGGAAGGATCTGGCAGGCTGCCGTCCTTCGCGAACTTCTCCTCGAACTCCTTGCCCTTGTGGATCAGCAGAGTGGCATCGCCGCCGTCATCCACCAGCTGGTCGCAGCCATCAGCTCCCGGCACGGTCATCATCTGCTCCGTGCACCACCAGTACTCGGGCAGCGTCTCGCCCTTCCACGCGAAGACCGTGGAAGTGCCTGCCTTGGCAATGGCAGCCGCTGCGTGGTCCTGCGTGCTGAAGATGTTGCACGAGCACCAACGCACCTTGGCACCCAGGGCAGCCAGCGTCTCGATCAGAACGCCGGTCTGGATGGTCATGTGCAGGGAGCCGTTGATGTTCATGCCCTTGAAAGGCTGCGAGGGGCCGAACTCCTTGCGTGCCGCCATCAGGCCAGGCATCTCATGCTCTGCCAGAGTGAGCTCCTTACGGCCGAACTCGGCCAGGCCCATGTCCTTCACCTTCGAGTCTGCCATGCTTCCCAGTCACCGTGCGATTAAGACTACAACGGGATGAGGGTGCCTTTCGAAGCTGGGTGCCGACAATGCCAACACGCAGAGCATGGTGGTGTTGAAAGGGCAACTGGACAGAGAACTTTGTGCGAGGAGTTTGTTCAAAGCTTTCCACTGTGCCCGGAGGCCAGCTGCTACGCTCGCAATTACAACAAAAACACCTCCCTTTGTCCTGACTAAGATTAGTCTTATACGTCTTGCTGTGGCATACAAGACCGTTCTGTTGTATTGTAGACGGGTAAAGAGGGTTGGAATGACAGAAACTTTCCACTTGGGTGCAGCACACTCACAACAAGACTGTCGTCAATCGATGATCCGATGCTGTCAGTCACTGTGCTCGAACGTTGCAACATCCCGAACGACACCTGGTTTTTTCCACTCAGCAGATCTCTTCTGCCCAGGCTTGGAATGTGCTAGCTGTGGACTCATCGTGTCGCCTTCGGGATCCACTTTCAGGCAGGACGCCTGTCATGGCGCCAAGGGCTCAGGACAACACACGGCAGCGCAAAATTGGCAAAAGCCGCCACTTAGTAGCGGTACGTGTCCGGCTTGAAAGGCCCCTCAACAGGCACGCCGATGTAGTCGGACTGCTCCTTGCTCAGCTTCGTCATGCTGGCACCCAGGGACGGCAGGTGGAGTGCGGCCACCTTCTCATCCAGCTTCTTGGGCAGCAGGTACACATCGTTCTTGTAGTTCTTAGCCTTGGTGCAGTTCTCCAGGATGTCCAACTGGGCCAGCACCTGGTTGGTGAAAGAGCAAGACATCACGAAGGAAGGGTGGCCGGTGGCACAGCCAAGGTTCACAAGGCGGCCGGAGGCCAGCACGATCACGCCGTGGCCATCCGGGAAGACGAAGCGATCCACCTGCGGCTTGATGTTCTCCACCTTGATGCCAGGGCACTTCTCCAGATCCTCCATGGCGATCTCGTTGTCGAAGTGGCCGATGTTGCACACGATGGCGTTGTTCTTCATCTTCTTCATGTGCTCCTGGCGAGGTGCTGGCTTGCACGACGCTACGAAAAAGATGCTACGGAAATGAACATGCACAAGCATGACACTTGCCATGACACTTGCATATATCTAGGGGTTGGGACAGGTGGTGCAGGCTCCAGGGTGATGATCTTGAAGTTGCCAGTGGCGGAGGTGAAGATGTCCACCTCACCCACGCACTCCTCAAGGGTCACGACCTGGAAGCCCTCCATGCACGCCTGCAATGCGCAGATGGGGTCGATCTCGGTGATCAGCACCCGTGCGCCGGCTCCGCGCATGGCGAAGGCGCAGCCCTTGCCCACATCGCCGTAGCCGGCCACGAGGGCACGCTTGCCGCCGATCATCACGTCCGTGGCGCGCATGATGCTGTCCGGCAGGGAGTGGCGGCAGCCGTACACGTTGTCGAACTTGCTCTTGGTAACGCAGTCCTGCTGTGGTTTCAATTTCTGTCCGAGCAGAAGACTTACTATCATGGAAGCACGGTTTTCTATCAGAACAAGAAACACAATCACACAACAAAAAGAACCGGCAGTCGTTGACGTTGATGGCCGGGAAGAGCAGCTCGCCCTTGGCCGCCATTTCGCGCAGGCGGTGGACACCGGTGGTGGTCTCCTGCTGGTTGGCACCATACCCGCTCAGAGCCAACACGCCAAAATGATGAAAACCCCGAAGCCTCACGCAAACCTTCGCACTTTCACAAATCGCTCCGAAATCCTGACACCCCGCACCCAAGACCCGCAACGTCTCCTCGCTGACACCCTTGCACTTGGCCGCCATGCGGGTGTACTTGGTCTTGTCCACCTGGATCGAGTCCCTGAGCAACTGCAAGATGCACTTGAACTCGGCGTTGGTCGTGCTGGAAGGATCTGGCAGGCTGCCGTCCTTGGCGAACTTCTCCTCGAACTCCTTGCCCTTGTGGATCAGCAGAGTGGCATCGCCGCCGTCATCCACCAGCTGGTCGCAGCCATCAGCTCCCGGCACGGTCATCATCTGCTCCGTGCACCACCAGTACTCGGGCAGCGTCTCGCCCTTCCACGCGAAGACCGTGGAAGTGCCTGCCTTGGCAATGGCAGCCGCTGCGTGGTCCTGCGTGCTGAAGATGTTGCACGAGCACCAACGCACCTTGGCACCCAGGGCAGCCAGCGTCTCGATCAGAACGCCGGTCTGGATGGTCATGTGCAGGGAGCCGTTGATGTTCATGCCCTTGAAAGGCTGCGAGGGGCCGAACTCCTTGCGTGCCGCCATGAGGCCAGGCATCTCATGCTCTGCCAGAGTGAGCTCCTTACGGCCGAACTCGGCCAGGCCCATGTCCTTCACCTTCGAGTCTGCCATGCTTCCCAGTCACCGTGCGATTAAGACTACAACGGGATGAGGGTGCCTTTCGAAGCTGGGTGCCGACAATGCCAACACGCAGAGCATGGTGGTGTTGCAAGGGCAACTGGACAGAGAACTTTCTGCAAGGAGTTTGTTCAAAGCTTTCCACTGTGCCCGGAGGCCAGCTGCTACACTCGCAATTACAACAAAAACACCTCCCTTTGTCCTGACTAAGATTAGTCTCATACGTCTTGCTGTGGCATACAAGACCGTTCTGTTGTATTGTAGACGGGCAAAGAGGGCTGAAAAGACAGAAACTTTCCACTTGGGTGCAGCGCACTCCCAACAAGACTGTCGTCAATCGATGATCCGATGCTGTCAGGCACTGTGCTCAAACGTTGCAACACCCCGAACGACACCTGGTTTTTTCCACTCAGCAGATCTCTTCTGCCCAGGCTTGGAATGTGCTAGCTGTGGACTCATCCTGTCGCCTTCGGGATCCACTTTCAGGCAGGACGCCTGTCATGGCGCCAAGGGCTCAGGACAACACACGGCAGCGCAAAATTGGCAAAAGCCGCCACTTAGTAGCGGTACGTGTCCGGCTTGAAAGGCCCCTCAACAGGCACGCCGATGTAGTCGGCCTGCTCCTTGCTCAGCTTCGTCATGCTGGCACCCAGGGACGGCAGGTGGAGTGCGGCCACCTTCTCATCCAGCTTCTTGGGCAGCAGGTACACATCGTTCTTGTAGTTCTTAGCCTTGGTGCAGTTCTCCAGGATGTCCAACTGGGCCAGCACCTGGTTGGTGAAAGAGCAAGACATCACGAAGGAAGGGTGGCCGGTGGCACAGCCAAGGTTCACAAGGCGGCCGGAGGCCAGCACGATCACGCCGTGGCCATCCGGGAAGACGAAGCGATCCACCTGCGGCTTGATGTTCTCCACCTTGATGCCAGGGCACTTCTCCAGATCCTCCATGGCGATCTCGTTGTCGAAGTGGCCGATGTTGCACACGATGGCGTTGTTCTTCATCTTCTTCATGTGCTCCTGGCGAGGTGCTGGCTTGCACGACGCTACGAAAAAGATGCTACGGAAATGAACATGCACAAGCATGACACTTGCCATGACACTTGCATATATCTAGGGGTTGGGACAGGTGGTGCAGGCTCCAGGGTGATGATCTTGAAGTTGCCAGTGGCGGAGGTGAAGATGTCCACCTCACCCACGCACTCCTCAAGGGTCACGACCTGGAAGCCCTCCATGCACGCCTGCAGCGCGCAGATGGGGTCGATCTCGGTGATCAGCACCCGTGCGCCGGCTCCGCGCATGGCGAAGGCGCAGCCCTTGCCCACATCGCCGTAGCCGGCCACGAGGGCACGCTTGCCGCCGATCATCACGTCCGTGGCGCGCATGATGCTGTCCGGCAGGGAGTGGCGGCAGCCGTACACGTTGTCGAACTTGCTCTTGGTAACGCAGTCCTGCTGTGGTTTCAATTTCTGTCCGAGCAGAAGACTTAATTATCATGGAAGCACGGTTTCCTATCAGAACAAGAAACACAATCACACAACAAAAAGAACCGGCAGTCGTTGACGTTGATGGCCGGGAAGAGCAGCTCGCCCTTGGCCGCCATTTCGCGCAGGCGGTGGACACCGGTGGTGGTCTCCTGCTGGTTGGCACCATACCCGCTCTGTGCCAACACCCCAAAATGATGAGAGCCCCGAAGCCCCGCACAAAACCTTCGCACTTTCACAAATCGCTCCGAAATCCTGACACCCCGCACCCAAGACCCGCAACGTCTCCTCGCTGACACCCTTGCACTTGGCCGCCATGCGGGTGTACTTGGTCTTGTCCACCTGGATCGAGTCCCTGAGCAACTGCAAGATGCACTTGAACTCGGCGTTGGTCGTGCTGGAAGGATCTGGCAGGCTGCCGTCCTTGGCGAACTTCTCCTCGAACTCCTTGCCCTTGTGGATCAGCAGAGTGGCATCGCCGCCGTCATCCACCAGCTGGTCGCAGCCATCAGCTCCCGGCACGGTCATCATCTGCTCCGTGCACCACCAGTACTCGGGCAGCGTCTCGCCCTTCCACGCGAAGACCGTGGAAGTGCCTGCCTTGGCGATGGCAGCCGCTGCGTGGTCCTGCGTGCTGAAGATGTTGCACGAGCACCAACGCACCTTGGCACCCAGGGCAGCCAGCGTCTCGATCAGAACGCCGGTCTGGATGGTCATGTGCAGGGAGCCGTTGATGTTCATGCCCTTGAAAGGCTGCGAGGGGCCGAACTCCTTGCGTGCCGCCATCAGGCCAGGCATCTCATGCTCTGCCAGAGTGAGCTCCTTACGGCCGAACTCGGCCAGGCCCATGTCCTTCACCTTCGAGTCTGCCATGCTTCCCAGTCACCGTGCGATTAAGACTACTACGGGATGAGGGTGCCTTTCGAAGCTGGGTGCCGACAATGCCAACACGCAGAGCATGGTGGTGTTGAAAGGGCCACTGGACAGAGAACTTTCTGCAAGGAGTTTGTTGAAAGCTTTCCACTGTGCCCGGAGGCCAGCTGCTACGCTCGCAATTACAAAAAGAACACCTCCCTTAATCCTGACTAAGATCAGTCTTATACGTCTTGTTGTGGCATACAAGACCGTTCTGTTGTATTGTAGACGGGCAAAGAGGGCTGGAAAGACAGAAACTTTCCACTTTGGAGCAGCACACTCCCAACAAGACTGTCGTCAATCGATGATCCGATGCTGTCAGGCACTGTGCTCAAACGTTGCAACACCCCGAACGACACCTGGTGTTTTCCACTCAGCAGATCTCTTCTGCCCAGGCTTGGAATGTGCTAGCTGTGGACTCATCCTGTCGCCTTCGGGATCCACTTTCAGGCAGGACGCCTGTCATGGCGCCAAGGGCTCAGGACAACACACGGCAGCGCAAAATTGGCAAAAGCCGCCACTTAGTAGCGGTACGTGTCCGGCTTGAAAGGCCCCTCAACAGGCACGCCGATGTAGTCGGCCTGCTCCTTGCTCAGCTTCGTCATGCTGGCACCCAGGGACGGCAGGTGGAGTGCGGCCACCTTCTCATCCAGCTTCTTGGGCAGCAGGTACACATCGTTCTTGTAGTTCTTAGCCTTGGTGCAGTTCTCCAGGATGTCCAACTGGGCCAGCACCTGGTTGGTGAAAGAGCAAGACATCACGAAGGAAGGGTGGCCGGTGGCACAGCCAAGGTTCACAAGGCGGCCGGAGGCCAGCACGATCACGCCGTGGCCATCCGGGAAGACGAAGCGATCCACCTGCGGCTTGATGTTCTCCACCTTGATGCCAGGGCACTTCTCCAGATCCTCCATGGCGATCTCGTTGTCGAAGTGGCCGATGTTGCACACGATGGCGTTGTTCTTCATCTTCTTCATGTGCTCCTGGCGAGGTGCTGGCTTGCACGACGCTACGAAAAAGATGCTACGGAAATGAACATGCACAAGCATGACACTTGCCATGACACTTGCATATATCTAGGGGTTGGGACAGGTGGTGCAGGCTCCAGGGTGATGATCTTGAAGTTGCCAGTGGCGGAGGTGAAGATGTCCACCTCACCCACGCACTCCTCAAGGGTCACGACCTGGAAGCCCTCCATGCACGCCTGCAATGCGCAGATGGGGTCGATCTCGGTGATCAGCACCCGTGCGCCGGCTCCGCGCATGGCGAAGGCGCAGCCCTTGCCCACATCGCCGTAGCCGGCCACGAGGGCACGCTTGCCGCCGATCATCACGTCCGTGGCGCGCATGATGCTGTCCGGCAGGGAGTGGCGGCAGCCGTACACGTTGTCGAACTTGCTCTTGGTAACGCAGTCCTGCTGTGGTTTCAATTTCTGTCCGAGCGAAGACTTAAAAGTATCATGGAAGCACGGTTTTCTATCAGAACAAGAAACACAATCACACAACAAAAAGAACCGGCAGTCGTTGACGTTGATGGCCGGGAAGAGCAGCTCGCCCTTGGCCGCCATTTCGCGCAGGCGGTGGACACCGGTGGTGGTCTCCTGCTGGTTGGCACCATACCCGCTCAGAGCCAACACGCCAAAATGATGAAAACCCCGAAGCCTCACGCAAACCTTCGCACTTTCACAAATCGCTCCGAAATCCTGACACCCCGCACCCAAGACCCGCAACGTCTCCTCGCTGACACCCTTGCACTTGGCCGCCATGCGGGTGTACTTGGTCTTGTCCACCTGGATCGAGTCCCTGAGCAACTGCAAGATGCACTTGAACTCGGCGTTGGTCGTGCTGGAAGGATCTGGCAGGCTGCCGTCCTTGGCGAACTTCTCCTCGAACTCCTTGCCCTTGTGGATCAGCAGAGTGGCATCGCCGCCGTCATCCACCAGCTGGTCGCAGCCATCAGCTCCCGGCACGGTCATCATCTGCTCCGTGCACCACCAGTACTCGGGCAGCGTCTCGCCCTTCCACGCGAAGACCGTGGAAGTGCCTGCCTTGGCAATGGCAGCCGCTGCGTGGTCCTGCGTGCTGAAGATGTTGCACGAGCACCAACGCACCTTGGCACCCAGGGCAGCCAGCGTCTCGATCAGAACGCCGGTCTGGATGGTCATGTGCAGGGAGCCGTTGATGTTCATGCCCTTGAAAGGCTGCGAGGGGCCGAACTCCTTGCGTGCCGCCATCAGGCCAGGCATCTCATGCTCTGCCAGAGTGAGCTCCTTACGGCCGAACTCTGCCAGGCCCATGTCCTTCACCTTCGAGTCTGCCATGCTTCCCAGTCACCGTGCGATTAAGACTACTACGGGATGAGGGTGCCTTTCGAAGCTGGGTGCCGACAATGCCAACACGCAGAGCATGGTGGTGTTGAAAGGGCCACTGGACAGAGAACTTTCTGCAAGGAGTTTGTTCAAAGCTTTCCACTGTGCCCGGAGACCAGTTGCTACGCTCGCAATTACAAAAAGAACACCTCCCTTAATCCTGACTAAGATCAGTCTTATACGTCTTGTTGTGGCATACAAGACCGTTCTCTTGTATTGTAGACGGGCAAAGAGGGCTGGAACGACAGAAACTTTCCACTTTGGAGCGGCACACTCCCAACAAGACTGTCGTCAATCGATGATCCGATGCTGTCAGGCACTGTGCTCAAACGTTGCAACACCCCGAACGACACCTGGTGTTTTCCACTTAGCAGATCTCTTCTGCCCAGGCTTGGAATGTGCTAGCTGTGGACTCATCCTGTCGCCTTCGGGATCCACTTTCAGGCAGGACGCCTGTCATGGCGCCAAGGGCTCAGGACAACACACGGCACCGCAAAATTGGCAAAAGCCGCCACTTAGTAGCGGTACGTGTCCGGCTTGAAAGGCCCCTCAACAGGCACGCCGATGTAGTCGGACTGCTCCTTGCTCAGCTTCGTCATGCTGGCACCCAGGGACGGCAGGTGGAGTGCGGCCACCTTCTCATCCAGCTTCTTGGGCAGCAGGTACACATCGTTCTTGTAGTTCTTAGCCTTGGTGCAGTTCTCCAGGATGTCCAACTGGGCCAGCACCTGGTTGGTGAAAGAGCAAGACATCACGAAGGAAGGGTGGCCCGTGGCACAGCCAAGGTTCACAAGGCGGCCGGAGGCCAGCACGATCACGCCGTGGCCATCCGGGAAGACGAAGCGATCCACCTGCGGCTTGATGTTCTCCACCTTGATGCCAGGGCACTTCTCCAGATCCTCCATGGCGATCTCGTTGTCGAAGTGGCCGATGTTGCACACGATGGCGTTGTTCTTCATCTTCTTCATGTGCTCCTGGCGAGGTGCTGGCTTGCACGACGCTACGAAAAAGATGCTACGGAAATGAACATGCACAAGCATGACACTTGCCATGACACTTGCATATATCTAGGGGTTGGGACAGGTGGTGCAGGCTCCAGGGTGATGATCTTGAAGTTGCCAGTGGCGGAGGTGAAGATGTCCACCTCACCTACGCACTCCTCAAGGGTCACGACCTGGAAGCCCTCCATGCACGCCTGCAGCGCGCAGATGGGGTCGATCTCGGTGATCAGCACCCGTGCGCCGGCTCCGCGCATGGCGAAGGCGCAGCCCTTGCCGACATCGCCGTAGCCGGCCACGAGGGCACGCTTGCCACCGATCATCACGTCCGTGGCGCGCATGATGCTGTCCGGCAGGGAGTGGCGGCAGCCGTACACGTTGTCGAACTTGCTCTTGGTAACGCAGTCCTGCTGTGGTTTCAATTTCTGTCCGAGCTGAAGACTTAAAAGTATCATGGAAGCACAAGGTTTCTCTAACAGAACAAGCAACACAATCACACAACAAAAAGAACCGGCAGTCGTTGACGTTGATGGCCGGGAAGAGCAGCTCGCCCTTGGCCGCCATTTCGCGCAGGCGGTGGACACCGGTGGTGGTCTCCTGCTGGTTGGCACCATAGCCGCTCTGTGCCAACACCCCAAAATGATGAGAGCCCCGAAGCCCCGCACAAAACCTTCGCACTTTCACAAATCGCTCCGAAATCCTGACACCCAGCACCCAAGACCCGCAACGTCTCCTCGCTGACACCCTTGCACTTGGCCGCCATGCGGGTGTACTTGGTCTTGTCCACCTGGATCGAGTCCCTGAGCAACTGCAAGATGCACTTGAACTCGGCGTTGGTCGTGCTGGAAGGATCTGGCAGGCTGCCGTCCTTGGCGAACTTCTCCTCGAACTCCTTGCCCTTGTGGATCAGCAGAGTGGCATCGCCGCCGTCATCCACCAGCTGGTCGCAGCCATCAGCTCCCGGCACGGTCATCATCTGCTCCGTGCACCACCAGTACTCGGGCAGCGTCTCGCCCTTCCACGCGAAGACCGTGGAAGTGCCTGCCTTGGCGATGGCAGCCGCTGCGTGGTCCTGCGTGCTGAAGATGTTGCACGAGCACCAACGCACCTTGGCACCCAGGGCAGCCAGCGTCTCGATCAGAACGCCGGTCTGGATGGTCATGTGCAGGGAGCCGTTGATGTTCATGCCCTTGAAAGGCTGCGAGGGGCCGAACTCCTTGCGTGCCGCCATCAGGCCAGGCATCTCATGCTCTGCCAGAGTGAGCTCCTTACGGCCGAACTCGGCCAGGCCCATGTCCTTCACCTTCGAGTCTGCCATGCTTCCCAGTCACCGTGCGATTAAGACTACAACGGGATGAGGGTGCCTTTCGAAGCTGGATGACAGAAGCGACGATCACAGAAGTACAGAGCCACACTGGAACCCCTAAAGAAGACAATCGCTGTTAAGCAATTGCCCTGGCCGCCCGCCGGATTTGCCGAATCCCTGGATGACGCACCCGCTTTGTGCGCGATAGTTTCTCGTCTGCAAATCCCTTTTCAGGGACAGGGAGACATCGAGAGGATTCAGCTGAGTTTAGCTATCATCTGGTCATGCCTGCATCGCCGCCACGTGAACGCTGAACACTGGCAATTACACCTGCTTGCATCTGCGTGCATCCTTCGATCTTGACCACGATGGTTCCGAAGAAGGCAGGAGGTGAAGGCAAACCAACCAGCTTCCGTACAAGACGACTATACACGCACCACAGCACAGGAAAGTGCGCGACCCGAAATCACAATCAGAGACTGGTCTCGGCCGACGCCGACGCAGGCTAACTTACGAGTCCATACTCATCCCAGGACTGCACGTCATAGAACCCACAAATCTAGGAAAAGACTGTGAGTGAAGCAAGGAACACGGCGGTCAAACCACGGTTCGCCAGTTCGACGGCCATGTCCTGGCGGAACTCGGGAAGCTCCGAAGTTGCTTGATTGGAATAAGGGTTCCTTAAAGGGTTCCGTAAAGGGCTCCTTTTAAACGGGTTCTATAAGGGATCTATAGGGGTTTAGGGTTTAGGGTCTACTTGGAGGATCATGTCACTTAGTAACTTAGTAACTAGGGTGAAAAAATAAGGTAACTATACTTATAACTCCAATTAGGGCGCTTATAACCTTACTAAGAGGTAGCATAGGATATCAGCATCAGACAAGCCCTGATTCGCAGAAACACTGATATCTCCGAAGAAACAGCTCCGCCAACTTTGCCTTCGGGTTCCAAGTATACAAATACTGCCGAATCTGGGGTTTTCCGAAAACAGGGGACCCTAATATAGTACCCTAAATAGTAGGATCCTTATTATAAGGACCCTAAAATCAGGTGCCACCTAATTTTCGGAAACCCCAAATAGTACCTACTTTGGGTCAATTTAGAGCCTCCGGGTTGTGAGCTAGCGCTCATTGTCTGATCCAGCTCTTGTGCAAAAGCTTACTAGCTCTCCAGAACCAACAGACCACCACTGACAGCTCCTTCATGGTCGCGCTGACGCTTGCCTGCAACTTCTGCGGCATCAATATACAACATGCAACATATTATATGTATATATATATAACCTAGTCTATACAATCTAACATTGAAACTAGGTAGAGCCTTGAGACCTGAGGCTACTACGGCCATCGGTTACCACTGCCTGGATGGCGCCGTGCAGGAGGATGCAGACCGGGCCATTTGGACAAGCCTGAGTCCATGGAGGCAAACACAAGACACTTGGGCCCCAAAAAGGCACACAAGCAAAACTTAGGACAGGGACATCCCATATAACCCCCCCTTATAATGAAGCCCAAAAAGGTAGGGATGTCCCCATAAAATGCTTCTGCTTGTGTGCTTTTGGGGTTCCTAAGACACCGGCCTGGCACAGCGACGGCTCAAGTGCCAAGAATGCCCAGCGGTCTAGGGTTTAGGGTGTCTATGTTGGACAGCCGTGCACACGACGTTCCTGGCTGCTCTGCCCTAGGGACTGGCCCAGACATTGCAGTGCACTGCTGACCAGAACTGCAATGGGCAAGATGTTGCTATGCCTTCTCCCGCAAAAGCCTACCCTCGGAATCGGCTGTATGAGTTTACATGCCGACCTAATTATGATAGTAACCTATAGAAACCCCATTAATACCGGAAAAACTGACCTTTTCATCTACCCCAAGTTGAGGCTACAAGATGGGTCCTGGAAACTCAAACCCTAAAACTTAAACCCGAAGCCCCAAATCCTAAACCCGAAATCCTACACCCTAAACCCTGAATCCTAAACCCTGAAATCCCAAACCCTGAATCCTAAAGCCTAAACCCAGCGTTTCGGCTCGAAGGCGCCGTGTCCGAGGGAGGCTCCACCCAGTCCAAAGCAATCTGTGCGGTGTCCCGGAGCTCGAGCATCCTCGGGCAACAAACCCTACTTGGAGGGTCGGGGGACTTAGTAACTAGTTATTTTAAGGACTTATAAGTACCATAACTCCAATTAGGGCCCTTTTCAGGGTACTTACAAGTCTACTTACTACCTACTTACTAAGTCCCCCGACACTCCAAGTAAACCCCTCAACCCGAAACCCGAACTCTTATAGATCCCTTTAAAGATCCTTTTGAAGATCCCTTAAAGGAACCCATACCAGAGATATAGTCCATTCTGTTATGTTCTGTTCGAGTATGTAGTATTCAATTATGTACGTTATGATGCTATGATCAGAGATGGATTATACTGCGTAGTATGTTCTGTTGTATTCTATGCGATGACATTTCAGATTAGTGTTTTCATTGCTCACGATCATTTGGTTTTAATATGCTGTTGTATAATATTAGACCAGAGCAGAGCATATCTTAATGTATTATAGTATAGTGTAGTATAGTGTAGTAGAGCAACACAACACAGCATAGCATAGCATGGCATGGTATCGTATACAATAGGATCGTACAGCATAGTACAGTATAGCCTAACATAATATGGCATGGTATAGTATAGTAGAATCAAGTCTAGTATACATAGCATAGTATGCTATATCATCTTAAACTATACTGTGTTATGTCATAATACAGTTTCATTATACCGTACTAAACTATACCACATTCTACGATGTTTGATTTTACTATTTTGCAGCATTCTGTAAGACCTGATCGTACATTGTACGGTATTGTATTGTAGCCACAGGGACCCTTAGGGGGGTAGGGGGGAGGGGGGTAAGGGACTATACTTCCTTAAACAGGCCTTACTAAATCCTTTTTATAGGCATTAAGGCCCCCTACCTCCCTCCCCCCTACCCCCCTAAGGGGTCTCTATGATCTAGTTTACTTTGTTACACTATCTTGTATTTTGTCGGGCGCCAGAAACCTTTGAAGCTAAGCCCGACCTTTTAGCGCCCTTCTAGTACCATTATATGGGAGTTTCCGAAAGTAGGGGCCCTCATAAAAAAGTACCCCAAACAGTAGGATCCTTGTTCTAAGGACCCCGCAACAAGGTACGCCCTAATTTTCGGAAACTCCCATATGATAGATCCTAAAGCCCTACACGTCAATTCATGCCCCCCTCGACCTTAAACCCAAACTACTTTTTCTCGGAGGGCCCAGAGCCTCCAAAACCCCTTAATTAAGGAATATACCTTAAATCATGTAAAGGATCCTGTTATAATTTAGGGTATATTCCTTAATTAAGAGGTTTTGGAGGCTCTGGAGGGGCGGGGAGTTAACCCTAAACCCTAAACCCTAAACCCTAAACAGTTCTCCTGGGTGCGCCAGGGGGCCGACGCTCGTAGACTCCAGATTGGAGAAAGCTGCGGATCTCCTGGGAGGGTACTACAAGGGTACAAAAGGGGCCTTGATAGTTCGAATAGGGTTCCCTTTTAAAGGGTCCACAAGGGATCTATAGTAAGATTCTATAATTAGTGTAGGGACCTTAATCATTAGAATAGGGTTCCTTTAAAGGGTTCTTTTTTGGGATCTATGGCGTCTATAGGAGTTGCTATAAGGGATCTATAAGGGTGTTTTCTAATTTAAGGGCCTTAAAGCCTATGCCATAAAATTGGTTCTGCAGCTCAACAGCCACTACAGCTCTAGCCAGCGATGCAAGCCAGCTGGATCTGAACACACTTTCAGCATCTTCACCTCAGAACCAAGGAGGCTCCAAGGCAAGCCAATTAGGGTTTAGGGTTTAGGGTTTAGAGCAATTAGAATGGATGGACAACCTGCGACATGCGGAAGTTTTCTCATGTGGGACATCCGATCACTGCCCACTCCTTCAACCCGAGTAGGAAGAACTGCTGCATGGCCGTATGAGCATAAAACGTCGGCCAGTACCTCAGCAGTTCAGGCACAGAGCTCAAGTGTCGGTCGCTGTAGCTGTCTCAGTCTGTCCAACGATTCCACGCCGACTGTTCGTGAGCTTCGGTCCTCTCTATGGTGTCCAACCCAAAGTGAACATGTTGTCCGAACAATGCGCTATGCCTGCAATCGCAGTCTCACTACTTCTCAACTACACAAGGGAGCTTCCAAAGCTTGACTCCCCTCCTTCATCGCACGGGTGCTATTAGATGCAATCGCGGCACACAGCGTGCAGGGTTGGGCACTGCGATGCAATGCGCTGCATAAGCTGCACAGGGACGGTTGATGATATAAATCCTGCATTACCCATAATAAGGAATATACCATAATTCCCATAGTTCAAGGTCCTTAATTTTTAAGGGTTACTATAAGGGCTACTGTAAGGGTTACTATAAGGGTCATACTTCCCTTAGTAAGGTAATGCAGGATATATATCATCAACAGGAGAAGTGTGCTTGAGCTGCGAGGAGTCGGTCATGGAGCTACGCCCTTAACACCCCCCGAAGCCCCAAAGTCCCACACGGATAAACCTTAGGGTTTAGGGTTTAGGGACCTTAGGATGCCTTTGGGATTCGAGGCTCTGGAATCCCAAATCCTAATGGATAACCAACTGCAGGTCTATATGCAACAACGGCGGAATCTTAGAAGGGCCCCACCCTGTAATAGTGGTATAATAGGAATATAATAGGACCCTATTATAACCCTTATAGTCACTATTACAGGGTGGGGCCCCTTCTAAGATAAACCCTAATCCCTACCCATAGGCCCCAAAGTAGTTCCTTTTTGGGACTACCTTATAGGATTCTAAATGTGAACCCCCAAAAGGAACAACTTTGGGGCCGTAAGGTAAACCCTAAACGTTCAAAACACCACTCCCATGGCAGTTCAAACACAAGGCCGACGACAAGTGCTCAAGTGTTGAGGGTTTACGGTTTAGGGCTTAGGGTTCGGGGGACATTAGCCAGAGCAGTGCTGAGCAAACTTTGGGAGATGCTTGATGCTTCCCTGGAAGCAAAGCCCCGGTTTAGGGCTTCGGGCTGAACGCCTATAGTATTTTAGTATGAAGAGCTGGAGCTGTGGGGCCGGGCCTGCCGTGCAGGAGCCAAGGCGTCTGTCTTCGAAAAGTGCACGCGCACACGACGGACACCTCGAGAGACTGTCAAAGGGTTCCTCTTAGGGTATTAACCATCATCATAATAACAAGCTTAGTCTCCCAGACCCTGAACCTCAAAAAGCTAGAGTTTGTGCTCAGGGTGTTAAGTCAGGGGTTCTGGCTCAAACCAACTTCTGCCAGCTCCAGCCCTGGATTTCCGAGCCCAGCGAGAGCTCGCCATGTCCAAATGCTGCCCGAAGCTCCGTGCAGGTAGTGCAAAGTCCAAGCGAAAAACAGTGCCTGCAAGGTCGGAGTCGATCATTGAAGTGGGCTTAGCATACGGGGAAGCAGGCACCTCACAACAAGGCAGCAGCAGCACGACAACAAAAACGAGAACTAGAGCCATAACTTAGGAGCGGTTTACGGCTTAGGGTAAAGGGCCATAACAGGAACCACCACCTGCAACCCCCAAACCCTTGTGCCACGCTGAGGCTGGTACATACCAGAAGCGCCGCGAAGTGAGCTGCGGCAGTCTTTGCCGGAGCCACCGTAGAAAGGAGAGGAACCTCTGCTGGTTTCGGGGTTTAGTGTTTTCCTTTCGGGGTTTCGGTTTTTTTTAAAGATGCAATGGCCTTTGGGTTTAGGGATTAGTGTTTAGGATGTTCTTTTTGGGATTTAGGGTTTAGCGATTAGGATTTTTTAGGGGGTTTAAGTTCTATAAGGCTTCAGGCTTAAAGCTTGGAAGTTGAGCTTTGGGCTTGACAAACTGCGTGTTTCGGTTGGCCACTCGCTGTGAAGATAGCCAAGATGTAGATTGCCAAAAATACACTCACTGTATCAGACCTGCTCGAGACAACCGCAAAATGTCACACATGCACATCTGCTAAATACCACAAAATTAAAGCCCTAAAGCCTGAAATTTACTCGCAACCCTTACACAAAACCCCTAAGTGCTTTAAGTGCGGTCCTGTGTGATCTCCGCTCTCAAACCGAGGTGCAACGGAAATCGGACGCTCACCGCTGAAGCTGATACCGTCATTGCGCGCGAGAAGGAAAAGCACCAAGGGCCGCTCAACAAATTTCCCACACTGCACTATACTATACCAAAAAATGCTGTAACTGTACTGTACTATACTATAAAGTGCTATAGACTATATTATACTATGCTGTACCATAGCATACCATATATCATACCATACCACACTAGACCATATTATGCTGCACTGTCTGAATCGAGCTGCTGGGACTTTCAAAGACCACGAAAGTTGGCTTCGTTGTGATAGACTGCTAGACTGCTTGCGAGAATGCAGACTTTGTGGCAAGACCTGGTGCTCTCGTGGAAATTTCTGGATGAAACCCTTCAAACACTCTACATAGCCTTGAGAACATCAGGTGCTGTGATCTTTTTTTCTAAATCCATGTCAGGTTCTGCCGCCATGGTTGGGCCCTTTGAAAGCCAAGAGAACGGCAGGAAACGAGACACTCCCAGCCATAAAGGGGTTTAGGGTGTTCAGGGCTAGAAAGAGGGTTAGAAAAGGGGTGACTACGACGGATACACAAGAGCCACTACCAGGATGAAGGGTTCGAGGTTTAGGGATCAGGATACTGGACTAAACTGCAATACACCAGGAGTTGGCAATACACCAGGCCATATTCTAGGCCATACGCTCTGTTCTAGCACTGACTACATACTAAACTATATATATATACACATGTACACACATGTGTATATATAGGGAGAGAGGGAAATTAGTATATACATATACATATACTTATCTGTTTACACATCAATGTATGTGTATATATATTTGTATACATATGTATGTATATATATATATGTCTATATTACGTGTGTGTGTGTATAATTACATATATACATACATACATACATACATGATGTCTGATGTATGATTTCTGATGTGTGTGTGTGTGTGTACACAAGCCTACGTAGGCTGCAATGGGCTACATACACTTGGGAGCTAGCAAAAATCTAATACCTTATTTGGAGTCTTGGCGATTTATGAGTACAGTCACGTCATTCTGGCCCTAGTTACTGGGTCCTGGGATGCTTTAAGCCTTAAATCCCTAGAGATCCCTTTAAAGGAGCTGTAAGGAGGTGCCGTGATCCTCCAAGTAGACCCTAAACTCTAAACCACAATAGATCCCTTATAAATCCCTTTAAGGAACCCTTTAAGTTACCCTTTAAGTTCCTAACCAAGCCCCATGATCCTCCCAGTAGACCCCAAACCCTTAAAGGGGACCCTATTACGGAACCCTATAGTACCCTTACAGGGAACCCGACTAAGCCCCGTGATCCTCCGAACCCTAGTTGCTAAGTCCCATGATCCTTTATGCCCTACACTAAAACCCCTAGAGATCCCTTATGCCCTAAACTGAAAACCGCTAGAGATCCCTTATAGAGCCCTTTCAGGAACCATTTCAGGAACCCTAGTTACTAAGCCCGGGATCCTCCGGGTAAGGGCGCTTTCAGTTGGGCCTCGGCTGGCTCCAACTCACGGTCCTCGCCAGACTGGCAAGTCTCTGGGCGTTTTGGTCTCAGGTATACATGTATGTATGTATGTATGTATGTACACAAGTGCGCGTGTATAAATATATACAGAGATGCACCAGATCATATATATATATATAAAACACATACACTACTCTATATATCATTTAGTAGGCTGACATGGGGCTTCTATTCCCTCTTGGGCTTAAGTACCCAGGAAAATGCAGAATGTTACCCAACTATGACACAGAAACCACTTCAACCCGAAACCTTCCCCTAAACTCCTGAACCTTATACTTACGGGCTGAGTACCCCAGCCCAAAAAGGCCAACCTTTTCAATGATGGGAGGATTTTTAAACCCCAAAAGGTAAAAGGTTACCTACTCAGCTACTAAGTATGGGAATCCTAAATCACTTCCCAGCTATGACAGAGTCCTCTACGGGATGCCAAGGGAGCTCCAGCCCAACACGGCGCGAGGCGTCATACCTGAGCCGCCGGGATGACAGAGCTCAGCAACTCCGTTCGGTTTGACCTTTAGGGTTAGGGTTTAGGGTTTAGGGTTTAGAGTTTGGGGTGTAGGGTTTAGGGTTTAGGACCGTGCTATACCATGTCGAGATTTGTTCCCCTCACCCAAACCACGAACCCACCCACCCATGACCCTACAAAACTATACTAGTAGAATAGACTCGGCCAGGTGAAACTAGGTTAGGGTAGATTCGAGTAGATTGGGTTGACGTTAGATTACGTCATAGTCTTGGGTCATCACTCTTGCTGCTGCCCTCGAAGAATCTGGTGGGTGAGTTCGGGGCAGTACCAACCTGTTGAACAAGACTCATCCCTAAACCCTAAACCTTAAACCCTAGACCCTAGAACACGGACTCCTGCATCCTACCATGTCATGCAATGGGCCGACGAGAGGGCTGGCTTGTCGGCTGCCACCAAAACCCCCCTAATTCAGGGGTTTAGGGTTTTGGTTTAGGGTTTAGGGGTTTAGGGTTTAGGGAATATACCGTAGTAATTATAACTGATTTTAGTTAGAAGCCTAACATGATTTAGAGGGTTTTGGAGTTTCTAGGATCGTCCTGATCATCTCAGGGTTAGATCTGCACTGCGAAACTGCTTTTTCGTAGGACTGCGGCTCATCCAATTCGCGGGCACAGCGGAGAACGTCTTGAGCGACTTCCTGCAAGGCTGAGTATGCCAGACCCTCTCCCAGCCGATTTGCAAGGAGGGTACGAAGCCCCCATCGCGAAACCGCATGTTGCAAATAATTCCTCAACACCTGAACCGCAAACAACACTACACCACCTCCAAACCCTAAACCCTGAACCACAACAGAAAGAAACAAAAAAAAACTAATCTCTAAGCGCACGCCCCCGGTTGCCAGAGTGCCGTGAGCCCTGCCTCACCGAAACGGCCCTGCACCTGACGACAAAGGACCACCCTAGGGTTGAGGGTTTTTCTAGTTTAAGGTTTAGGGTTTTAGGATTTAGGGTTAAGGGCATGGGCCCACCGGGACTACTTCCAGCACTGATCTCAAAAGATCGTCCAACTACACACAGTAGACCTCTCATGAAAGCCTGCCGAGAAAAGCAGACTTCAACATTGTACAGATACTGTACATCCATATATGTACTGTAAGTGTATATACATATATGTATACAACTTGTTTGCTAACACTACATGTTCTCTCTCTGCACGTGCATGTCTACATCCACGCAGGCACGCATACATACTTACATACATATGTGTACACATATGCTGTATATAGTATGTTCGTATATGCATGCGTATACATATACATATATATATATATATATGTATTCTGGTATATACTGGGTATACTAGCTTCCTTCTCAGGGCCTCCTCTAAAGACAGCCGCAGCAGGCCACCCCGGGCGGCCCACCTGGGCTTCGAGGGCACTCTACGAGTAGAAGCGCACAGCTCTGTGTATCTATGCGTAAAATACAGATGTATATATATATATATATGTATACATATACACATACGTTTATACATACAATATATATAATATAATATAATATAATATAATATAATATAATATAATATAATATAATATAATATAATATAATATAATATAATATAATATAATATAATATAATATAATATAATATAATATAATATAATATAACAGAATATAATGTAACATAATATACACACATATATGTACATCCACTGCAGTCTTTGATATTACGTTGTAGTACATTTCGTCGGGTTATACGACGTAACACTATGCTTTCGGTTTTAGTATGCTACAACCTGCTGAATTATGCCGTGTTCTGTTGTATAATGCTGTGTTATGCTGCAGTGTGTGATTCTGACTTGATAGATATGATGTACAATGTGATATTGTAACATTATATTGTATTGGCTTACATTACATGGATAATTATACAGTCTTATGTCTCACTGTCTTCTTCTGGGTTGTACTATGTTACATTATGTGGAACTGTTTTGTACTATCTGTAACATGTTGTACTGAGTCATACGGTCTTACCTTATGTTGTATTATGTTCTTTTTTGCTGTATGCATGTTTATCCGTCTGCAAAGCTATCCGGTGCTCATGCGCGGGGTCGCCAATACCCTTGCAATACCCTCGATATCGATTCTGGTGGATGAGACGTTGTGTTCCACACTCCCAGCACTCGTGAGGCACACATTTCACTTTGGCCAACAGCGTCAGGCTGCTTCAAAACTGTACTTTGAAGAGTCTGATGCTCAAGTCTCGCTTCCGAAGAGCTGGGACCTCCTCCGAGAGCTGAGGATCTGGCTTCACCCGGCCCGTTTTCGGGCTGAACCTCCCAAAGCGAGATGCATGCGTCACTTGTTGCCATGATTCTGATAATATGAGTTCAAGGTTGTATCCTTATCACTGCAGCAACGGAACCTGCCTCTTGCGGGATACACTTCTTCTTTTAGCACTGGTAAGGTGCAACGAAGGACTTGCCCTAAAACCGTAACCCTAAACCAGAAGCCCTAAGCCCTACTTGGAGGATCATGACACTTAGTAACTAGGGTTATAAATAAGGCAACTATACTTATAACTCCAATTAAGGTACTTATATCCTTACTTACTAAGTCCCATGATACTCCAAGTTAACCCTAAACCCTAAACCCCTAAAGATTATAGATCCCTTTAAAGAAGCCCTTAAGAAACAAAAAAAGAAACTCTAAACTCTAAACCCTGCAAAAATCTAAACACCCTAACCCCAAACCCTAACCCCTAAACCCTAAACCCCTAAACCAGAAGCCCTAAGCCCCCTAACCCCCAAGGTCTCTGAACCCAAAACCGCTGGCCGCCGCCCGAAGCTCTTCAACTTGGAGGCTCGGTTCTGGGTGACACAGAGAACTTCTCGCTCACTAACACCAAGAACTCAACCTTAACAGCATACCATAGGCTAGGGTATAGTATATAATTACTACAATGACAATATGAGTAATAGAACCCAGAGAGCCCAATACCCCTTAATTAAGGAATATAGCTTAAATCATAATACGAATCCCCTTACAATTTAAGGTATATGCCTTAATTAAGGGTTATTGGGCTCTCTGGGCTGACACTAAGAACTCAACCTTAACAGTCCTGAATACTGTAGCAACAACGAAAACCTTCATAATCGTAGTAGGGATATTATGAGCAACAACACTAATATTAGCATCTTCAGAGCAGTACCTAAACCATACAGTACCCTTATCGATCCCGTACAGGAAGCCTCAAAGGAACCCTCAAGAAAATGAGCTGGAACCCGCCAGTAAGCCCAAACTCCACTTGGAGGATCATGGGACTTAGTAAGTAAGGTTATAAGTACCCTAATTGGGGTTATAAGTATAGTTACCTCATTTATAACCCTAGTTACTAAGTCCCATGATCCTCCAAGTAGACCCTAAACCCTAAACACCTGTAGATCCCTTATAGATCCCTTTAGAAGGAGCCCCTAAACCCTATGATTAAGTGCCCAAACTCTGGCTCCCCTTCTGCGGGGCCCCGGGCGGTCGGAAGCCGGGGTCTCCTAGCAAGCTCACCTCGGATACAGGGATGGCTTTTCGGGTTGAGGGTTCTGAAACGGATTCCTACAAGGGATCCATATGGCTGGTTGTCGAAATAGGGGTCCCTTTTTGGGTACCCTAATTATTAGGTGCCGTATTCTATAAGGGATCCAGAAAGGGACCATGATTTTGACAACCACCCATATATGGTTAGGTTTCAGCGCTTAGGGTCGCTTGAAGCTCACGGGCTGGTTCTTTGGGGTTGCGGGGTTCCCTTAATGGGATCTAGAGGGGTCCTTCAGGGTTCCTGTATAAGGGTACTCCAGGGTTTCGGGGTTCAGGGTGTAGGGCCGTTTAGGGTTTCAGGTTTAGAGTTTCAGTCTTAGGATATAGGGTTGGGCTCTGGGTTCTAGGGTTTCGGCTTCTAGCGGCGATTGGGTTCCAGGGTCTAGGTTTAGGGTTCTTGAGCTTTAAGGCTAAACCCTACGTCCTAAGCCGTGATGCCGATGTCCGAAACTCTACAAACATTAACACATATAAGCCCTAATCCCTATCTCCAAAATCTGCAACCCTAAAACGCATTATCCTAAATAAACCCTTCAATCAACATGTTCAAAGCTAACATCTATGTCCTAAACCCTTTAATGAAACCCTGCACCACCCTGGCAAAAGAACTCGATACCTCTTTTGCTGGGAGCCCAGTCATCCTGGAGGATGCCCTCTGCATCGGGAAGGCAGCCGCCCTGCGAGCGGTTGGATCAGACTTTTGGGTTCATACGGTTGATGATAACAATCCTGCATTACCCATAATAAGGAATATGAATATACCATAATTCCCATAGTTTGGGGTCCTTAAGGTAATGCAGGATTTATATCATCAACAGTAGCAGGGTCCCCTGTTCAGGGGTACTGTAGGGTTCCATGTTGGGGTTAGGGCTAGCAGGGGGTTCGGGAGGGCTGCGAGGGTTTAGGATATAGGGCTTGGGTTTTCGGGTTTTTGGATGGCTTAGTAGGGTTTAGGGTTTAGGGGTTTAGGGTTTAGGGTTTAGGGTTTAGGGTTTAGGTAGGTGCTTTGAGGGTCGGGTGCCGAAGGGCTGATAGCGGTCAACTCCCTTTCTCCGCAGCATCTCCAAAGCCCAGTGAAGGTCAGGGTTTAGGGTCTAAGGGTTTGGGGTTAAGGGGTTTGGGATTTAGGATTTGGGGTTTAGGGGTTTAGGGTCTAGGATTAAGGGTTTTTTGTGCAGGTGCAGCTGGAATTTTCTTTAGGGTTTTGGGTTTAGTGCCCCAAGCCTCCAAAACCCCTCAATTAAGGAATATACCTGAAACCATATTAGGGATCCTGTTATAATTTATGCCTTAAGTAAGGGGCTTTTGGAGGCTCTGGGTGTTTGGTGCAAAAAACCCTAAACCCTAAACCCTCCACCGCAGTGCTCCCTGCTGGGAGGATCATGGGACTTAGTAAGTAAGGTTATAAGTACCCTAATTGGAGTTATAAGTGTAGTTACCTGATTTATAACCCTAGTTACCAAGTCCCATGATCCTCCAAGGAGGGGTTCCTTTAGAGGGGTCTACAAGGGTTCCCTTAAAGGCATCTATAAGGGTTCCCTTATAAAGGGACCTAAACCCTTCACCGCAGCTAGGATACCCAGTAACCTAAGAATAAAAAGGCCTCTCTTTTTGGTATTGGGTATCTTTATAAGGAGCCTAGGACTACAAAAAGGGAATAAGGGCACTACCGGAGATCCTAGGCAGTGTTCCCTGTGCTGAGCCTGGAGAAGCCCTGCATCTCTAGCAGCCAGGCCCTGGCAGAGGGCGGTTTACTTGAAGGGCAGGGGACTTAGTAAGTAGGTTATAAGTAGGGCTATAATTGGGGTAACTCTATTTAGGGTACTTATAACTCTACTTATAACCTACTTACTAAGTCCTCTGCCCTTCCAAGTAGGGCTCCTCAAAGGGTTCGATAAGGGATTCATAGGGTTTAGGGTTCCTATAAGGGCCCCTTTAAGGGACCTATAAGGGATCTATACGCGGTTTAGGGGTTAGGGGTTAGGGTTTGGGGTTAGGGGGTTTCGGGTTTGCAGGGTTTCGGGTTTTGCAGGGGTTTAGAGTTTCTTTTTGGTTTCTTGAGGGGTTCCTTAACGGGATCTATAAGGGATCGTTAGGGGTTTAGGGCTAACTTGGAGGATCATGGGACTTTGTAAGTAAGGTTATAAGTACCCCAATTGGAGTTATAAGTATAGTTACCTTATTTATAACCCTAGTTCCTAAGTCCCATGATCCTCCAAGTAGGGTTTGCAGGGTTTAGAGTTTCAGGGTTTACGGTTTAGGGGGTTTGGGGGTTAGAGTTTCAGGATTTCGAGTCTAGGAACTAAGGGTTTAGGGTTTAAGTTTAGGGTCTAGGAGTTCAAGATTTCCGGATTTAAAATTTTACGGAATATTCAGAAAATCCTCACAGGGATCCTGAGTCCAGCTATACATTACCCTTAATGGAGGAATACTCACAACGCTCTAGCACCGAACCCCGAAACAAGCCCAGAGAGCCCAATACCCGTTAACAAAGGAATATAGCTTAAACTATAGTATGAATCCCCTTATTGTTTAAAGAATATTCCGTAGTTAAGGGGTATTGGGCTCTCTGGGAGGCCAGCCCCAACATCTGGTAGGCCTGAAGCTCGTGTACCCTGAAAACCCCAAAGTCCGAACATCTTGCAGCATAAAAAAAGGCAGCCAAAAAGCTACGCACTTCAACGAAGGGAAAAAGAAGTAGAAAGCACCATAGCAAGCACTTAACACGCCGGAAATGCTCCAAAATTCGCGTTTCCCACATTCGAAACGTGCATTTCCACAAAAATCAGGACAGTTTCAGCAGCGGCGGATTAAGAGGCAACCAATCCTCAAGCCAAAATTAAGGATCCTCGATTGAAAGGACCCTTAGCTAAGGAACATTCCTCAAATCATGCTGCGGGTCCTTGATTAGAAAGGACCCCGATTTATGCGCGTGCTTCAAGCTTTTATGGATGTCCTTGGTTGCAATTTGACAATGTTCCTCGGACCGTCGTAAGAATCTTAATTACAACGGACCCTGAATTAACCAGGGATCCTTACCATCCTTGATAAGAGATCAGAATTGCGCTTGAACCTCAATTAACCCATGCTCCTATACGCAATAAAATACTAGTAACTAATATCAGTAACAGAAACAACAGTAGCAATAGTACGACTACCAATAAAGTAATAACGAGAATAATAATAAGACTAACACCTAAAAACAGAAAAATAACAAGACTATACTATAAAGATAGTAAAAAGCCGTGTTAATGAAAGCAAAACTACGCATAATGAAACAACCATAACAACAATAACATATCAATAATTGTGTTCATTGATACAGCAGGGCTCCTTCAATATCCTCAGCAAAGGACCCTTCCCTACTAGATCCTGAAAAGACTTGCTACAGGACCCGAGTTTGTCATATCTTAGCTCCTGCACACCAAACTTAAATAAACCCTAAACCCTAAAATTTAATCTTGGGGTCCTTCCTTGGCATCCTGAGAAGGGGTACTCTAAGCCCTAGGCTCAAAACCTACCTTAATCCATTGCAGGAGGACCTGTGCGGCCACAAGTCGCTCGTCCAGGCGTCCGGCCACCTCTAACTTCCAGAACGTTCAAGGTTCATGAATGGTTTAGGGTTCAGGGTTTAGGGTTCAGGGTTTAGGGTTTAGGGTTCAGGGTGTAGGGTTTCATAGGTTCAAAACAAGGTTTTGGAGGGGTCTTAGATGTTGTTCGGTACGGGTTCCTTAGATCCCTCAAGCCCAGGCAAGCTGACGGATTCTCGTAAAACAGAATCGACACGCTCCACGTCGACATCTGAAGTATGGCAGTTGTTACAGTAAATACACATATACACATTTAGGGTGCAGGGTTCAGGGTTTGGGGTTATACGACCACCTGCACCTCCAAGGTATGTAGAGTAATAGCCTTTTTCAGGTATTGGGCCATTATTTTACCGATGTTTTGGGAGTTTAGTTAATCATAACTGTAGAAAAGTTAATGATAAGCACTGCTGTCATACGGGTCACAATCATCGTGAGGATCCAAGTCGCAGTCACAGCCAGAGGCATGGACATAGATACAGGTGCCATATTCATAAGCATAAGTTCTAGCCATAGTTAGTCATGCTGATTGAACTAGCCTATACTGAAAGAAGTCGTCAGGTAACCTTAGTGGTGGTGGTATTTGCAACAGTGAGGGTGGTGAACACGAGGAAGAGAAAGCCTACCGCACACCGTGACACCAGAAACACACACTCACATACATTCCTAAGGAGCCCCTTTTTGCGATGCTCTTTGAGGGGGGATGGTCCTCCCAACTCACGGTCTGGCACTCTATACATTAAACCTTACACCCTAAACCCCAAACCCCTAAACCCCTAAACCCTAGAACCCCAAACCCCTAAACCCCCAAACCCCTAAACCCCCAAACCCCTAAACCCTAGAACCCCAACCCCCAAACCCCTAAACCCCTAAACCCCTAAACCCCAAACCCCCAAACCCTAAAAAGAACCAGCGAAACATCCGGCGCCTTCGTGGGGATGCATGCTCCGCGCCACTTGGCCTCCGCCAACGGGCGAAGGAATGAAAGCTTCAGGGTTGAGGCGTTAGGGGTTAGGGTTTAGGGGTTAGGGTTTAGGGGTTGAGGGTTTAGGGTTACGGTTTAGGGTTGAGGGTTTACGGATAGGGGTTCGGGCTTAAAGGTTTTAGGGTTGAGGGTTGAGGGCTTAGGGTGTAGAGCCTCTCTTTTGGTCGGCTCTTGTCGTCCTGCAGCTGGTTGCTCTCCGAAGGTCACACGGCTTGAAGCTACTTGCTGGCCTAGGTGTGGAGAGCTTAATTTAAGGAACTTCTGATACTTCGCTTCGCTTGGGACTTTGCATTCAGGGGCACCACACATCACACACACATAGCCCAGTCGCAAGGACGGAAGTAGCCGCCCCGACTTTTTCTTCTCTCGCATAAACGCGTTTCTGAAATCAATCCACTGCGGTAGCTTGTGCACCACGTGATGTGTCTAAGCCTCGAAGAAAAGCCCGAACTGCAATCGAGACCGTCGCTGTGGCGCCGTGTACTTAAACCTTGCAGCGGTTTCAATTTCGTGAGCACCCTTCGGCAAACTACTGTCTGGTGCTTAGTAGGGAATGGGGGAATGGATCCCTATACTAGTCCCTTTATGATCCCCAAAAGTAGTCCCCATAATCCATTCCCCCATTCCCTACTAACACCAGGGAGACTAAGACTTACCGTTGGTTAGTAGGGAATGGAAGAATGGTAGTAATAGTAGTTATAACTATACCCCATTCCTCCACTCCCTACTAACCAACGGTAAGAAGATGCTGTGACGGAGACGAGCATTTTCTGGCGCCACCACGAACGATCAGCACGGCTCGGCCTCCGCAGGTTGGGTTTAAGGCCATTGGGGTTAAGGGGTCTGTTCATATAGGGGCCTTACGTAAGTATTAAACTATTTTGGGGCTCCTGATTATAAATATAGTATTCTAATTATGCAGGCTTCTATAAAAGCGGCTTATTGGCCATGCATTTCGCGGGATGAGGACTCAAAGGACAAGGTCGATGCTGAATGCGCTTCCTCTTGGACCCTGCCCAAGGCCTCACTTGCTGCGAGGCTCCACGGGAAGGCCCCAGACAATGCACCTCAGAGTTGGCATGGAAGCAGCGCTGCACTGCACACGTCCCCAGAGAACCCAATACCCCTTAACTAAGGAATATACCTTAAATAATAAGGGGATTCATATTATAACCCTAACCCTATACCCTAAACCGTTGCGCGCTCTGGGTCTTTCGACTTCACCGAAGTTGATGGCAGGCCTGGCTGCTTTGACTGTCACCCGGACGTCCGTCGCTGTAAGACCACCTGGACATTTGTGAATGTGGGACTCTGGGATCACGGGTTTACTACAACATGTCCCACACCAGAAGGAATTTATAGTAAGCTACCACATCAGGGAGCTACAGTAAATAATATGGCTTCCTTATTATGGTAACTTAAATTAAATCGGACTTGCTTGCGAGCAAGGCCGACAACGCAGAACTGCGCCTGTGGCTTGATCTCGCCTGAAGACCACCACATTGTCGCTGTCCTGCCGGTACCCTAAACCCTAAACCTATACCCCCCTTTGAACCATAACAAAATATAATCTTTAATATTCTCTTGGGTTTTATATGAACAAACATAAAAAGTAATTCCTAAGGAACTATAGAAACATCTTTAAACCTTAAACCCTGCTACCTAAACCCTGAACCCTACACCCTAGAAGAGTCAAAGATTCAAGGCTCCTGATTCGCTACCAGGACCCAGTCACCCGAGGGGTGGATGCTGAAGTTACGCGGGTGCGCACCTCGCAGAGACCGCCGCAGATCCCACAAAGTCAGCTGCAGTTTGTGAAGGTGTGTGCTTTGCCCTTACATCTCCAAGCTATAACCCCCCTTAGAACCCTAATAAAGACAATGTCTTGAATATTCTCTTGTGTTGTATATGACAAAAACAACAAGAAGACTATAGCAAGGAGCCTTCGGTGTAGGTGAAGCCAACCAGATCCAGCTGGCTTCCAGTGGTTGCGAAGCAGACCAAGCTATCCTCGGAGTGTTGTAGCGTTTCGCGGCGAAAGGCGCTCGGCTTGGAATCTACCCTAAACCCGAAACCCTAGACCCTAAACCCTAAACTTTAAACATACCCAAACCCTAAGAACTTACAGGTTGGAATGGAAAGACCCTGGTCAGAGGCTCGTACTTCGCGACTCCTTAGCGCGCCTAGGGACTTCCCTGTAGCGGGCTCAACAGTTCGCAGCCGAGCATCGTGGCCACGATTTGAGCCATACCTGAAGTGTTTGATTGTAATACAGGGGCCTTCATAATTAGAATAGGGTTTTTGGGCTGCATTACGTAATGCAAGTTGGGGGTTTGGAAGAGGCTCTTGTCAATAGTGCATCCGGTATTCCGAAGAGTCGTGTTCTTCAATGGTATTCTCAGTCCTCCTGTACCCGTCGACTGCGGTGTCATTAAGATTAGGAGGGCTTCTATATCTTCAGCAGCTATATCTTCAGCAGCATGTCAAGCATTCTGTAGCTTCATATGTGATCGTCGTTGGAAGTGGGGGACTAAGCACATGCAAGATAGGACCAGCTGGGTGGCTCTTGCAGTTGAGTTTGTAGCGTCCTTTGGCCTGTTTCCAGGACTGTGTGATCAGGAAATGTCTGTAGGAATCCTTGTCCGTAGGTTCAAGGATGTGTTTCTTCAAATCATCGACAAGCATCATGTCAATGCTGTTCACAGAGTCGGCATTAGGCACATCAAGTCATTTGGGTTCGGAAGTCAGTCCGGGCTCTCGTGTTCGAGGCAGTTTCGTCATCATGATAAGGTTTTGGCTTGGATTCTGAAGGTTTCCAGAGGTATTGCAGTAATGCCCCCAAAAAGTAAGGAACCCCGAAAATTTCATAGGCAATTGCTAAGGCCCCTATAGTAATTGGGCTGGGGGGTTAGATGAGCGTGCAGACACGGAGCAAAGCAAAAGTTAGCTGCGGGCTCACTCTCAACTAGAAACAAGACAGCCTCAGCAATTCAACACCCCAAGGATCCAAGTACCTAATAATCATATACTCTCCAACATCCTAATTAAACTACATAGCTACTATCCTAAAAACAAGTATCTAATTCTGGGACCTTGGGGACAGCGGGTGCTCAAGCTCCGCTTGGTTGCCTGGTACTGGAAAAGCTGGTTGCACTAAGTGCAATGCGAAAGCCAGACAGCTGCACACTGTTGTTGGCGTGGACTGCTGTGGCTTCTATCCAGTTCCCCCGAGTGATTTCGCTCCCTGGCTAAACCGTATCGCGACTTACAACTGGGTGCCGCCACAGTGCACGAAACGACCGTCTGGCGAGACGTGGATGTCCTTGGTCAGCACAGGTGTGCAGTGTCTGCAGAGCTTGCTCTGGCTGAAACACAAAAAGGACCCTTGTCATGCAATCGTTTGCTAGAAACTGCAGCTGTGATACCGCAGTCGCATTGGTCTGCTGTGGCCTGTTAGGTCCTGTCAGACAGAGCGGCTCCAGCGCAATCTCAGGCCCGTCGCTGCGGAAGCAACTCTGTGCGACAGCGTTTGCGCAGCTATGATAAGCTATGATGTGATGTGCGATACCTCGCAGCAGAACTGTTCCAGGCATGACTGCAAGCACCGGGTGAGCCGAATCAACCAAAAGGGCACCTGTTGCAGGCTCTCCCGCGGCATTCTTCGCATTGGCGTGATCCCGGTTGTTGTAGCCTCCCATCATGATAAGCTGTACTAAGTACTAGCTACCGATGAATGCCGGCACTTTTGCTATAGCATGTTCTAGTAATAGGATTCTTGCAGTATAATGTAGTACAGTTCTAGCATGTTCGCGAAGTAGACGACAGTGCAATTATGGTACCCTCACATGCCCACACCAGGCCAAACGGCCTGCCGGCAGCGTGGACACTGTTTGGATCAGGCCGAGCTTGCCTTCCTCGCTTGCACCGGGAGGTTTGCCAAACCGACTTAAATTCAAACCAACATCGAGACAGTACAAAGTGCAAGGCGCGCGGCATCACGATCATAGCTGTAAACGTTGATTGTGCAGTCAAGCTCATTGATGCCATACCTGCGAGTTCCATTTAACTAATGGTCGTGACCTATCGCCAAACAATCGATCTGCACAAAAACGACATGTACTTAACAGCTAGAGTTGGGTAGTGGACTGTACACTAGAATTTTAGTATGGGCCCGAAGCAATAGTATGAGTATTTACTCAGGCCGTCATATAACCAGCATCAAGCCGTGTCACACCAGCTGCCCACTGGGGTGGAAACCTGGAGGATGAGCAAAGGACACGCCAAACTCCCTGAATTATAAGGGCTCCTTAAAAGGATCTTTAAAGGGATCTTTAAAGGGATTTTGAAGGAATATACCTTAAGTCATATCAGGGATCCCATTATACACTAAGGTCTATTCCTGAACTAGACCTAAGAGTAACCTAGGAATAAAAAGGGTGGCCTTTTTGGTTTAAATGGGGTTATAAGGGAACCTAACCCCTAAAAAAGGGAATAAGGGCCTACTCTGGGTCCTAGTGAATTGAGTGGTTTTGGAGCGTCTGGGTTCAAACCGGGAGACCGAAGATTGGAAAGCTCAGTCTACCTATACTTTCGGGCTGAGTACGCTGGCCCAAACAAGGTTAACCTTTCTGGGTTGGCCTTTAAACACCTTCAAAAATATTTATATATAGGGTCCCTTATAAACCCAAATAAGGAAAATAAAAAATGTCCCAAAATCCAACCTAGCTTTTCAATGATGGTAGGACTATACAAACCCCAAACAGGTCTAAGGTTACCTACTCAGCTGCTAAGTACGGTCTCCATTGTAGCTCCGTTTCTTGTTAACCGCTCCGCTGTTTCGTATCCGGTTCGTATCCCATAAGGTACCCCCCCAACCGAGGAACTCCAATGGAGACTATAGGCATCGGCCAATGACAATAGACTCAATGGTCAGCTTGTGCAGCGGCACTCTCTAATTGCACGATATGGGCCGGGTA